TGGTGACCTCAATAAAGACAGTGTGGAAGATCATGCCAGAGAAAGAGGTGAGATTGGAAGTGAGGATTTTGAGATTCAATGACTCAAAGACTTCACACAGTTTCACCATTGTGTCTGTCCTCTTGTTACATGTTACACTCACCACCATTGTCCTCTCTCCCATGAATGTAACCTTCAACTTCCATTTGACCCAAAACCACAATCTTAATCATGTAAAATTATTTCTCAAAGTTATGATTCAAGAGAGCAGGACTTACTTCGAGAACTTCGATGAGAGAACCGGGCGAACCAGAATCAAGCTGCTTCATCTTCTTGGATGTAACAGGAACCAGTAAATCACGATCAAAGTCTTTACCGAAACTCAGACTACTCTTAGTCTTAGGTATAGATTCAAGTTCTCTGATCTCAGCTTCAAGCTTCCCCTCTTCATATTGTAACCCTTGTATGTAACTAATAGCATCTTTAATTATTGATGCTTTATCCATCTACAAGAAAGGGAATCCATAATAAGCTTGGATCCCTGTAATTAGAAGACAGAGAGTTTGAGTTTCAAAGAGAGGAAAAGAAAGAAAAAGGAACCTTGGTGATATTGGGAACAACTGATCGAAGAGCAAAGAGTCTCTGGTTAAGTTTCTGTCTTCTGTTTCTCTCCGAGACAATATTCTTAGAAGCCGGCGAAGAAGCCGCTCCGTCCGGCGAACTCGAATCATACGACCCAGAAATCGCTTCCTCCAAAGGCCAGCTTTTTTTTTGTTTTGGTTAACAGAAAAATGCAAAACAAATATCAAAATCTTGAACTGTTACCGAAGAAAAAGATAGCCAGAGACGAGAAGAAGAATTTTACCTGTCGTATTCGAAATCTTCGTTTTGGAGGAAAGAGTTGGGTTCCCAGTAATTGTTGAATTCTTGGTCGATATTCTCCATTTTTCAGACAGATTTTCGGATATCAAATGTCTGTTTCCGTTTCTGTATTCTCTTGTTTCTCTTGAACTGTGAGCTTTATATAGAAAAGGCGAAGAATGAGGATGAGACAGACCAAAGTTTGAGGAGACAGCAACGTAGATTTCCAATTATACACCACCACCGTTGTTTCTTACTAAAAGCAAAAAAATAATGTCAATTATTAGTAGTACACAGTGATTCATCAATAAAAAAATCTTAGATATTTTCCAAATAAATTGAAAAGGAAGTAAAGACCAGTATATTTAATAATTTAATATTCAGGATGATGATATTCGACACGAGGGCTTATTCATTTGTCTAACGATTCCGGGTAGTACACATATGCAAAACTTTTAAATATTTCATACTACTCAATGTTGTCAACATCTACAGTATGTGCACTAAAGAAATTTTGCCCTTAAAATAATAATCAAATATTAATAAATCATGACCCAAAAAAAAAATATGAAAAGAAACCATTAAAATATTTTAAGACAAGCAACAAAATGACAAAAATGGTGAAATAAGCAAATAACAAAATAAAATTAAGATCAAATCGAAATATTTGTAACAAGACCATACCCAACAAATCGAATCATACATACGATTGTTAATTAGCTAAGTAATTGTTCATTAGCTAATAAAGAATCCAAAAATTCCAAAAAAAAAAAATCATAATTAACAAAAATGAATCTAATAGTCAAAGAGATCACACCGAAACAACCACGAAAGAGCCATTTTAAAGGAGATCATAAACGAAATTCGGCGTTTCATTTCACATATGTTTAACATGATTTGTCCTTACGTACGACTTAAGTCAATCAGATTCGATTTTTGTGACCATCTGAAAAACGTTGTAACGAAAACAGACTCATGTATCATGTGTGCAAGGCATGTCGTTACGTATAAGTTATAACCCCAAAGCCCTAAAACGCAGAGACAAAGAATCTTCTTACACAAAACATCAAAAGATGAGCAATCATTGAAAGAAGGAAATAAATACCTTATTTGCCTTATCCCTTATGGTCACTTGAGAACTGTGTAGGAACTAGGAAGCTTCCCATAAGACTTGTTCATCTATCTTGCTCAAGCCTTCATCGTCGAGACGTTTCCACGTCTTGATAAGTTCAACTCCTGTCCATGTGTTTTGTCCTTTTCCGAGCTTAGCCTCGATCACTCTTGCTCTTCTGTGCCAATTTGGTCTACCGTAAGCGTGGTATCCAAACCCTCCGCCATAACAAAACCATACCCCTTTTAGATTTCCACAGAAATCATTGATATGGTCGTGTCCAATGAACGCGGCTTTTACATTTCCCATTGACACAAAGGTCTTTAAGACTCCTGACTGAACAATGGAGCACGCCACGCCTTCCTGAAACTGGCCGATAAAGGGTGTGTACCACAGATCACGGACTTCCAGGATTGGGATGTGGAAGAAGGCTAGCGCTGGAGGTATACCGGGAAAGTTTCCTACATTCTGGTTATGACCCTGTTTAGTCAGTATGAGTCTCCTTAGTGGTTAATGAATCTTGACCAAAGATCTAATATGTGAGCATTTTACTAGATGCATTGAGAAGTGCTTAATCTCTTTTACCTGCTGTGATGCATCTTGAAGCCAACTTAGTTGGGATTCTTTGATCCATCCATATGTTCGTCTACCTTGGACTGTTTCTCTATCTCCACTGTCAAGAAAGAAGAGGTCAAACACAGTGCTATTTGACAGCACAGAACCAGGTGCACCATATACTCTGAGGCGGTAGTTCCCAAAGCCATCAATCGATCTCATTGCGCCGATTTCGGCTCGATCGAAACTGAATGGTGGATTGATTTGAGAGACGGAAAAATCCATAAGCGAAAGGAAAATCATCAACTCTTCACGGTTCAAAGCGGATTCATGGTCATGGTTTCCTAAAATAGCAGCCCATGGGATTCCATATTCAATAGCTGGACCAATAGCTTGAAGAAGAGATTCAGCTGCATCAGTAGTGCTTGCTCCAAATATATTATCCCCTAATCACCAAAAAACAGAATATATTTCTCAATCTCCACAAAGCGTCGAAGCAATTAGATTTAGTATGTTCTTATAAGCCAAAGAGGAAATTACCAGTAAAAGCGATCAAATCGGGTTTCTCAGATTCAATCATCCTACGAAGAAACCGAGTGGTATTGAGATCAGAACAGTATTCGAATTCAGAATCCAACACATCTCTGCATCGAGTAATACTCCCCATTCCGTAATGCATATCCGCGACCTGTAGCAATCAAATTACAATCCAATATCGATCAGAATCCAATCAAGCACCAGCGGAATCGTACGGTATCAGAAAGAAGGAAACGCGACCTGAAGGATCTTGAATGTGCCATCGTCGCGGAACCGTAGAGGAAGATCCGGTGACCTTTTGAGGCGGACTCTGGTATGGTCGATGTGTAATTTGTGTGAGATTAGGGTTTCGATGAAGTAGACGAGAGATAGAATCAAGGTTAAGTAGAGAACAGTGTGCTTCCAGTTCCCAATCACTGAACTCATTCTCTCTTCGTTATTCGACTTTTCGCTACAACGATGATTCCTCGACTTTCTAAATTTTGATTCGAAGTTCCTAGACTCGCAAATAATGTCGCGTTCGGTGGATTCCAAGTCGCGGTTAAAGCGGTTTGAAGCCCATTGGGCTTTTTCGCTTCACATACAACCCAAAATATTCTTACTGTCTTATTAGTCCGCGAGTTTTTTTGTTC